ACACTTGGAAAAAGAAAACAGGAGAATGAGATGTGGGAAGTAAGAACTGTTAGGTGATTCAGTAGATAAACAATGAAGGTTGTAATTTCAGCAGCCACAGTGCCTGGGTTTAAATCTCTGCTCTGCTACTCTCTGGCTGTGTGGCCTTGGGAAAATCTCTTAACACAAGGAGCTGCCTCATCATCTGTAAATAGGGGGACTTATACCAAAACCTGTCTCAAAAGTTTGTCTTGAGGATTAGATAATTAAAATTACTGACCAGGCGTGGTGGCCCACGCCTGTAATCCCAGCACTTTGGGAGGCCAAGGCAGACGGATCACCTGAAATCAGGAGTTTGAGACCGGCCTGACCAACATTGAGAAACCCCGTCTCCACTAAAACAAATCTTAGCTGGGCGTGGTGGCACATGCCTGTAATCCCAGCTACTCAGTAGGCTGAGGTGGGAGAATTGCTTGAACCCAGGAGGCAGAGGTTGCAATGAGCCAAGATCACACCACCGCACTCCAGCCTGGACGGCACAGCGAGACTCCTTCTCAAAAAAAAAAAAAATTCCCACAAAAGTGCTTAATAAATGCTCAAACAGGTTAGCTATTGTAAGAATACTGGTACAGGCAGTGGTGAAGGTTCATCTGTTAGAGACCTTGCAGAGGGGAGTGGATGAGCTCTGGTGACCAGGTGAATGCGTTGGAAGAACAAAGGTCAGGCAAGAGAAGAATCATTGACAATTCAATGTTTTACATCCCTTCTTCCACATTCCCCAAAATATGCATGCATACACATACAGGCACACGTGCATGTGCACACACATACACACACCTCATCACAACCCCTCCATTCTTCAAAAGGTAATCAAGAAGGATAAAGACTTGAGTGGCAGAAAGATTAGGAATTTTTTCTTCAACAGAAAGGATTGGAAACCGTGGAAATAATCTCCATGTGAAGACACTTAGAAGCTGAACATTTGGGTCTTGAATTCTAGAGATGGCAGAGCTAGGGATATGGCTTCGTGGGTCAACCACATCGATGTCATAGTCAAGCAAGTGGTAAGATAAGAATCACAAGTGCAAAGGTTCAGATAAAAAAGAGCAAATTTATAAAAACAAAACAAATAAACCCCAAACTAGAGAAGCCGCTTGAACACAGGCAAGAGGAAGAAGAGTTAGGGAATGAAGAGGGCTGAGGTGTCTGTGAATGCAGACGAGGAATTTAGACACAGCAGTGCCATGGAGACCAATGATTTCTAAGGAGATCACTCACTGGTGTCAAACACAAAGGTCAGTAGAAGAGGAGTGGGAGGCAGCAATTACCTCGGGTATTAGGGAATGATTTCAGAAGTAGGGCCAATCTAGCAATTGTCTATATGCAAGTAAAAATCGAAGACACGCAAGAGAAATTAAAGGAAGCAGAGAAGAGGGAGAGTATAAAATGATGAGAGCAGAGAGTCTTGGAAAGTTGTCTTAAAGCACACAAGAAGGTGGAGAAGCCCTCACACTATGAAAAAGCCACCAGGTTTGGTGACTAGCAAGTCACCCTCAAAGCAGAATTGTCCAGTTCCTTCAACAAACAGGTGGTATGGAAAAACGTGTACTTTTTGAGAATCATGAAATGGAATGGTTCCATCTTCGAGTTGTGCATTTGTGAATTTAAAACCCTGTGAGGACATATATAAATTTTGCAAAAGGGCCTGTTCCATATGGTGAGCTCAGTCCCTTGGGAACTGAATTATCAAAGCTCCTATCTGATGTAAGGAAACAAAAGTCATGCAATTAAATGAGATCAGGGTGGTGCACAGAGAAACAGGAGCCAGGTGTGCTAAGTTCCAGCCGAGAACCACAGGTCTCCTTAGACAGACTAGCCTCAAAAAAGCTCAGCTAGATGCTAGATGAAAATCTAGATACACGTTTTCCCCACGAAGCATGCATTTCACGTACACTCTAAGGCCTAGTCTAGCACGCTTCCTGAGTAACACATTTCCAATCATAAAACCGCTCTGGGAAGACTGTTTTAGATGGAGAGTTTTACATTTTCTTTTCTTTCAAAGGCAAGATATCACATTCATTGTTTAAGGAAAGTCTCCGAAACCCCTGAGGAGTCCTGGTGTGACTACTGTTGCCCCTCTGCTTATTCCAACCGGTGTTTGTCATGACATGCATGTTTATTGGTCATAAACAGGCAGCTGGGAGGTCTGTGCTAGGCTGTCTCTGGAGGCTGGGGAATGAGGTCTAATGACATCAGGGGCAGGACTGCAGTGACTGACTCGTGTGAGCAGTTAGCGTCGAATTCCTTCATGGCCATACTCACATTGCAAACATACGGGAGGATGGAGTTCCCTAACCCCACCCTGCAGCGTGGTTTAGTCTACAACAATTGATCCTTGCTATGTTCCCTGCTTCTCTTCTCCACCATGGGCAGCTGCTTGTGCAGCTGGGCTCCAGAGGCAGGGCTCAACAAAGCTTCCGGCCCTTTAATGGCAATGCAGCCACATTCATCAAAAAAGGAAAAAAAATTCCAACCTGCAGAGCCAAAAGGTGAGGGCAGCTGAATTCCATGCCTTTTAGTGTCTGCAAACTGTGAACAGGAACCAAGCTGCAAACTGCAGGCATGATCACACCTAGCTGCCTTTGAAACCGCTTTCTATTTGTCATTTCTAAGTAATCCACCTTGAAACACAAAAGCTTTTCTGGTGGTTAGATGGTGAACATTTACTGTCCCTTCATTTGGGGACAACGATTGAGTTTCCCACACACACAAAATGAGAGCTTAAAGCACGCTCTGGGTAACCCAGAAAAAGTGATCAGCAGGGTTTCATCTTCAAGGAAGAACAGAACCACTCTGCAGAGATCCATAGCACATGTTCTGCATTCTGATCAGCTTTGTTCATACGGTCAATATTCGATTCTCTCAGTCCTCACTGATGCTCCTTAAGTAGGTACCAGAGCTTCTGGAGGGTTAAAACAGGTGTCATTCCAGCCCCAAACAGGATTATCAGAGGCGATTCTGGGGCACCTGTGTGGAAATGGCTCTATGCGACAGGAACAGAACTCTCAGCACCATGGAACTCCAGTGTGAAGGCTAGACACACCAAAAAATAAAGATATTCAAAGAGCAAAGACATTGATGAATGTCTCCGAGAAAGAGAATAACAGAGTAAGAAAAGGCGAATGGTGCTGTAATCTTTAGTCCATGCTTCACGACTGGCATGACTCAATCTGTCTCCATGTGGCTCTGGTTTACACATAAAGTATAACCGGAGAAATAAACCTCAAAATCCTAGAATTTCTGAAGTAGCAACACAGCTTTCAATTCAAGTCACACATCATTTCTGACACAAAAATAACAGCAGCTGAGTACGTGAGAGGCCTTTCCCTCCAGAAGTGTAGGCTCTGATCCCACAATGTCGTCATTCGTATTCCAGTCCAGAAGGACACAGACCTTCTCCCAGCACTTTCAGCTAGATCTCCTGGTTTCTTTTCTGGTTCTAAACTCACCCATATGGAAAGCAGAATGGTGGTCCCTGAAAGATGCCTGCATTCTAGTCCCCTCAACCTGAGACTACCTCAGGCTATATGGAAAAGGGAGAGTCAAGGTTGCCAGTCAGCTGACCTTGAAATAGGGAGCTTTTTCTGGAGGATTGAGTAGGCTCAATGTCCTTAGTGTTCTTAAAAGTGGACGTAGGTAGGTACCAGCAGCTCTGGTACCTACCTACGGACCACGGAAGCAGGATAAAAGGGAAGCTATCTTGCTGGGTTTGAAGATGGAGGAAGAGGACAGCAAACCAAGAAATGTCAGTGACCTCTAGAAGTTGGGAAAAAAAAGAAAAGATTCTCCCTAGGGCTTCTGGAAAAGAATGCATAACTGTTGGTGACCCCTTATGTCAGACCAGAGAGATTTCCAGTCTACAGACTCTAGAACTGTAAGACAGTAAATCTGTGTTGTTTTAAGCCACTGAATTTGTCCTAATTTATTACAGCAGCAACAGGAAACTAATGTGCTATCAGGAAGCAGAGACAGCGTCACTCAGGAACAACACTGCAACTCCAAGACAGAACAGTGTCTGGGTTTCTTTGGCAATAAAAGGTAATCATTTATTTTTTTTTCTAGTTAAACGAGCATCCAGCCAAGTGCTAATCTGTAGAAAAGATGAGAAAAAATGGCACAGTGTCTTCCAAATGTGTGTGTGTGTGTGTGTGTGTGTGTGTGTGTGTAGGGGGTGCGCAGCTGAGAAGCTAATCTTTTTACCTCCCAGTTTTGCTACAGAGGAATGTAGCATTATTTTTAGAAACTCAATTCCTTTCTAGTGGACCTGCATTAATGTGATCTTAAAATCTGCTTTTTCAGTTTCTCCTTTTTTTTTTCTTCTTCAAAACATCCCTGTGTGCTTTGAATGTTCGGATAATCTCCTGAGACAATCTAAATCTAGAGAATTTTAGTTCCCAAATCATGCAGATTTTTGTATTATGCCCTCAACATGGTTCAGAGAGGATGTGATAATATTTAAGACAGCACAACAACCAAATTCTTCCAGGGTAGTTCCTGAATTAGAAGGTGAGAAATTGTATTAGAATGTTAGGACTTGGAAGAGTTCATGTAAGAATACGAATAGATTTTCCATGCAATTGTGCACCTTGCTGTCTGCCTGTTTGTATGTTAGGTTTCCTTTAATTGGAGGAAAAAAATGCAAGAGATCTTCTGAACCGGTTAATGTATTATGGACCAGGGGCCCTTTGATACGAAGATTTTCAGAATTTATTTAAAGTAAGGACATAACTCCTTGCTTGAAGATAAATTAGGATGTGCCCAGCCTTATTTTAATCCCTTTGCCCTAAATAACCAGGAAATCTTACTTTTCTACCAAGAACAAATAATGATCCACTAGGTGAGATGAGTGTGGAGAACCCCCCAAAACTCAGTTGTAGAATATGATTACATCAGGAGTACAAGCAAGAGGAAGGATGCTTTGACCCACTGAATAAAATAAAAAATAGGACGGAAACACTTACCCTCAGGTCTCCATTCATAGTTTTTGGTGTGTGATTAAATGCATGTGCAGGATCCTTGTTGTACACTTTGAGGAGTGATCTGTCTTGAATGTTCCTGGAATCAAAAACATCAATAACTATGGCAGATGAAAGAAGCCTGACTTTGGCCATTTCCTTAGCCTGCTCTTAAAGATCAGGTAAAAAACATGAACACACAATCCAAAGGCTATCTACAATATGCCGGTCAAAAGCTATGTGACCATAAAATAGGCAATTATAAATAAGGAAAAGAAGAAAAATGACTTCAGCTTTTCTCTCCTTTTCTTGTTCCTCAGGAAAGTATCATTCCTCCAGTATAGCTCCCCACCCATAAACATTGGGTAGCACGAACTTTCTTTCAAGATGCCGAGTATGGAAAGTTAAGGCTTTAAAAAAAAGACAATAAAGTTCCAATATTTACAATACATTCAAAGAGATTTGGTTAATATTTAAATATTTAATTATTTACTTTTCCCAAACACCTGGTTTGCTGCTTATCTAATGAATGCACATGAAAGAAGTCTGTTCCTCAGGAAAGTATCATTCTCCAGTATAGCTCCCCCACCCATAAACATTGGGTAGCACGAATCCCTTCAAGCAGATGCCGAGCATGGAAAGTTGGCTATTTTAAAAAAAGCATAACAAGTTCCAATATTTACAATACATTCAAAGAGATTTGGTTAATATTTAAATATTTAATTATTTACTTTTCCCAAACACCTGGTTTGCTGCTTATCTAATGAATGCACATGAAAGAAGATTTTCTTTTTCTTTTTCTTTTTTTTTTTTTTTTTTTTTTTTTTTTCTTTTGCCTTCAAACACTTTTCTCGCAACTGAAAGAAAAGGTATCCGGAGTCCAGGAAAAAAAAAAAAAAAAGAAGAAATAGTATCATAAAAATCTAATATTTTTACTATGCCTTTTTCCCTTCCATAGTGGGTTAGAAAAATAGTTTTTCTACGTGCGAACCGAATTGCTGGATGTGAAGAAACAGCAGCAGATAAGTTCTTCTTTTTTCTCCAAACCCAGCTCTTAGAGCCAAGGTGTCACAACACAGCAAAAGACAGGGTCAGAGCCTACCTTAAAATTATTGAAGAGCACATGAATATCTACGAAGTCCCTCTCCCTCCATGTTCAGCTTTCATCAGCAAAAGGGCCACCCAGGGCCCTTTTGGCTCTGTCTACACTGCGATCCCTTCCAACGCCGGCTCGGCTAGCTCAGAGAAATGTGTGCAGGAGGACGAATTCCTCTCCTCCAGGTGCAGCCTCATTTAGTAGGCTGACCCAACCACTGGGATTACTGGCTTGTGTTTCTGTTTTAACTGAAGTGGAGGATTCCTGGACTAGTCTTGTTTCTCTTCTTTAAATATCCGCCAGTAATTGCTTTGAAGCAATGACTAGCCCAAGCTTGCACGGTTTCTCCAGTAGCTTGTTAGAAGTCGGCTTGAGGGGGAACCAGCAGCCCTTGTTATTAAAGGGGGCTGAGTGACTATGAAGGGGAGACTCACAGAGGTAGGATGTGGGGATCCACTAAGGGGCTCACCATTGGGCCAGAGTAAGGAGTCACAGGCGAGGACATGAAAAAATAGAAAACCTCACGGGAGCCATGAAAAAGACTGTGATTCTGGAGGTATTTAATTTTTTAATTTTTTTTTTTTTTTTTGAGACGGAGTCTCGCTCTGTCGCCCAGGCTGGAGTGCAGTGGCGCAATCTCGGCTCACTGCAAGCTCCGCCTCCCGGGTTCACGCCATTCTCCTACCTCAGCCTCCCGAGTAGCTGGGACTACAGGCGCCCGCCACTGCGCCCGGCTAATTTTTTCCTATTTTTTAGTAGAGACGGGGTTTCACCATGGTCTCGATCTGCTGA